AACGACAAACTTGGAAGGAACTGGTGGGATTATGGTACGCAATTTCGGTTCCCCCACCCCTTGGGACTCGCTGGAGTGCTGATATACCTCACTGTGGCCTTTATCTTTTGTCGTTGCTATGAACATGAATGCTGTCGAGAAGACAACTTGACGGTGCAATGGGGTGTACAAGATCACTACGAGATCGTACGAAAAGTAGGGCGAGGAAAGTACTCGGAGGCAAGCATCGACAATTAGTTAACGACATTGACAGCTCTTCCTTGCCTGAGCTGACGTTTTTCACATTTGATACGATAGGTCTTTGAATCGATTCATCTTCCGTCGTCGTCGAAATGTATCGTCAAAGTTCTGAAGCCCGTCAAGAAGAAGAAGATCAAGCGAGAAATCAAAATCTTGCAGAACATTGCGGGTGGACCGAATGTTGTCGCTTTGTTGGACGTTGTGAGGGATCCTCAGGCAAGTCTTGAAGCAAAGCGGTGCACTGTTATCGACGACTCCAACTGATGACTTGATTTCTCCACATTGTTCGTCTTTAGTCAAAGACCCCTTCCATCGTTTTCGAATACGTCAACGTGAGTTTACGTACACACTCTTACTGATACACATTTCGCTTATTTACCATATAATCGGCTTCCAACTACCTAGAACATTGATTTCAAAGTCTTGTACCCAAGATTCACCGACTTTGACGTCAGGTATTACATCCTTGAGCTCCTGAAGGTACGGTATAGACCCGTAAAGGCTTTCGAACCGTCACCGAGGCTCCGGATCTAACTCTCCTCACTGTTCCAGGCTTTGGACTTCTGCCATTCAAAGGGTATCATGCACCGTGACGTCAAGCCGCATAACGTGATGATTGACCACGAAAAGCGCACTGTAAGTTTCACCTGGTGCGCAGAACCGTTGTTCTGTTATCTGACTCCGAGCTTGTCCACTGCGAATTTATTTTGTACGGGACAGCTTCGTTTGATCGATTGGGGTCTTGCAGAATTCTACCATCCTGGAACAGAATACAACGTCCGAGTCGCTTCGCGGTACTTCAAGGGCCCTGAATTGCTGGTGGATTTCCAGGAATACGATTACAGCTTGGACATGTGGAGTCTGGGGTGCATGTATGCTAGCATGGTATGTCCCGGTCAAGAACAAGAACTATCTGCCGTCAACGGGTTCTGAGAGCACGCCGTTTTTCCCTTTTCGGTAACAGATCTTCCGCAAAGAACCGTAGATATCCGTGGTTTTGTGTATCACAATGTCGCGAGCATTTCAGTTGATTCCGATCGTCGTGCATTTTAGCTTCTTCCATGGTCATGACAACTACGACCAGCTTGTCAAGATCGCCAAGGTTCTGGGTACTGATGAACTCTTCGCTTAGTAAGTCTGTTGGGCCTCGTTCTTAACTCGTCAAAGGATGGCTGATTCGGGTTTCTCTCGTAGCTTGGATCGATACGATATCGAGCTGGACGAACAGTACGACGATATTTTGGGCAAATATCCAAGGAAGCCATGGTCCAGATTCATCACCTCAGGTACGTGTTACCAATCCGATACAAGTCAAGTTCTCTTGCTGGCACTGATTGCCTGATATTTTGATGCCCAACCTCGATTTCAGACAACCAACGTTATATCTCAAACGAGGCGATTGATTTCCTTGACAAGCTTTTGAGGTATGACCACCAAGAACGATTGACTGCCAAGGAAGCTCAGGATCACCCCTACTTCGGTGAGTATCTGCCTTTCCTTATGTAGCTTTTTGTCCCTGGCTAAACAAGATAACTATCTGCTTTAGCGCCTGTATATGCGTCGGCAGAAGCGGAGAGGCGGGGAATGTAAGCTGGAATTTGGCATGCAATGAACGTACGAAACGCTATCGCACCGTAGAACGGAAGCGTTTCAGATACGGTGTCAAGATGTAGAATGGATGACGGTGTTGCAGAAGCGTGTTTATTAGATTCCCTTTTCTTTCTTACCGTTACGGATATTTACCGGAGGTGCTTTGTAGTTTGTGGATTCCCTGCAGCATTATGTCCAATTTTGGATCCAGATCGCTATACAATTATGAGTGCGGGCATCTTCCCAATCCTGCATATCAAGAGTAGAGATTACAATTCTGTTAAATTTCTATTGACAACTTCTTAATACCGCATTTCAGCATTCACGCCAGACCATACTCTAGTATGTTCGAAGGCGATTCCTTGGGCACCCGCGCCCTCAGCAAACAAGTTGACGACCCCACGAGGCGATGTTTCATTCACGTAAATTCTGGTCGAAATGATTGTTCGTTCATTGACGTATACCTCAAGAATACTCTTGTCGAAAAGAATAACAAGGTCGAGTGTCTCCATACTTGTGTCTCCAAGATTGCTGTAAGTAAGCAAGGTGTGTGCAGCTGACTCTGGGCGTCGATTGACAGTTTTCTCTACGTCAGTTGCGTTCGAGGAGATAGTATGGCTTCTATCGATAATGACTGTTTGGTTGACAGGATTGAAACTAATGTCTGTGCGTAGGTGCTGGACATCGTCGTGAATAATGGAAATGCCGACTGTAGCGGTAGAATTGGCAGAAGGATACCGAACGGATGTTTGAATGATCATGTGAGCGGTGTTATCGATAGCGACGCCCTGTTCGTATCGATTGTCCATCGTTGACCTCGGACTCCATACGTCGAGCGTTTGATTCGCTACAGCGTGGGATTTCAACCCTTCAAGGACGTCATAGTGAAGCTTGATGCCCATAGTGCCATATGTTGAACGGTTGTCGCCAGTTTCGAGAGGTTCGAAGACGGGAATAGATGACAAATCGTCTCCACCCATATGGCCAGTGACGTTGCGATGAACCTGAAGATACAGCTCCCGGGGCATGGAAATTATTCCAGACCAACCCTGGTCGGCGCGAATGTCGTTCGGTAAGTCTTCTTCCTGCACCCAGCCCCACGCCACCAGTTGATCCGTGAGAGGGTGGCGAAACGAATTGGCGGCATAAAAGTTTCCATGGTCAAATAGACCTGAAGCTGAAGGAGTGAACGAGAGACTGTTATTGCCAGAGCTTGCAAGTTCTCCAGTCATCCATAGTTGATACCGCGGCGTTCTTGTCACCATGAGCCCTTCGGAAGCGGTATCATTACCGTTTGCGGTTTGGGTTGGAATTGTTCCTTCGGCGCTGATAATCAGAAACTCTCGCTCCAACTGGCTGTTTGGGTCTTTTAGACTCATCCGGTTCACGCATTCCCAGTTTTTCCCCGCGTCGCCAGTCCATCTGTCTGCCCGGCTATTCGATTTGACAGTAACCAAAGGTGAAACATATTCCCATTTGGTCAAGTCGGTAGGATCAATTTTGTAAACAAAGGTTGCGGGACCTTGATCTCGAAAACCCCCAGAAATCAGGGCGTAAAGACATGGCTTGGTGCTGCCCATCAAGTTATCCACCGCCGGCCAGTATGAAATATAAGGATCTCTCCAACCAGTGTAGTCAGCTATGGGTGCACCGCCAATAATGGGGTTACCTTCGTATTTCTGCCACGTTGCACCGTGGTCGAAAGATTGGGCGAGTGAAAGCGTTTCCATCCCTAATGGATAGGGCTCCTTGAATGTGACGCCACTCCTCTTGACAGAGGTATACGCCAAGACGAGCTTCGAATTTGAGCTGGTCGTATTCGAGGACAAGGTTGAAGGAATAAAGCCCCCCGTGAAGACACCCTTGACGTCGTACGGGTCCGTGGGCTCGAGCGCCGGCTTGTCATCGAAATCCCAGTCTATTAGGTTGGAAGAGGTCGCATGGCCCCATGCGATAGCTTCCGTGTCATTTCCCCAATTGTTCAACACTGGATTCCACTGGAAAAAGAGATGGTAGAGGGAAGTCGCCGGGTCAAAGAACGGCGCTGCAAGTGAATATGGTCAGCTCATCATGATAGTCCGTTCCTTGGGAATTTTACGCTCACCACATGGATCATTGATCCAGTTGGCTTTTGGCTGGAAATGAAAAGCTGGCCTATACTGCTCATATGCCTTGGTTTGGTTGGTAGCCCGTGTTGTAGCTGCCGGTATTTCCGCTACCTGACGAAGTGCGAGATGCAAATCCTTGTGGGTTGGGAGTTCTTGGATCTGACCTGGTGCAGCAAGAACTCTTGATGACAGGGTAGCTGTCAGGCCCATGGCGAGGGGCATCAGCACGAAAGTTCACCACATAATCTGCAAGCATGCCCGGTTACCAAAAGGAGGCTGGATTGATATTATACTACTGGGACTAACTTTCGTTTGTCGGTGAGAAAAGAGCGGGGAAACCGAGAAAGCCGGCTTCCTATGCGTCCGTCAGCTCCTGAGCTGCACCGCCGGTCGGAAACGCATTCACCGATAATCTCGCCGATGCCTTCTCCTTATATAGGAATTCGTGTGTTCTCTACACCTCTGCTCCGGAGATCAGCCGGGGAGACAACTCGGGCATGACCACGTAGCCTCATGATGCAGTAGCACGACGGGTCCATTCCTGCTGCCCGTTCACTCTGGGAAGGTGCCAAGTGTCAACCCCAGAATTGGGTACGAGGACTGGCTAGGTGAGGCGGAAGCCACGAAGTAGCACTGGAACCCAGCTAGTTATTGCGTATTCAACTGTTTACCCAGATGTGAAGCGGCAAAGGATGCGGGGCCAAACGGCGATACTTTCGGGGCGGAAGCTGGGTAATTGATCAACTTGGGGCGTTATTCCCCCGGTCTCGGTAAGGAAATATTATGAGATCGAGGCAGATGCCGCCGGCAGCAGCAAAGGCAGTTTCACCAAGCACTAAACAGCAGCTTAAACAGCTCGCTGAATAGAGTGATTGCCAAGCTGATTGCGTTTCACCAACAGTCGCAATCGAAGCTGCGTCAGGCTATTCCTATATTGGTGAGGCAGAGTGATGGGCATTCTGAGGAGGGCTTACTGTAATTGGCGTGTCGACGTTTCGGACTGCGCCGCGAATCTTCCGGAATGCATATATATTTCTCCAAGGAAAACCTCGAAGATCAAGCGTCGGAATGCCGCAGTGGTCTACCGGGTCGGCCTTAAGCTTCCTTGAGCTAAGTTATCCGATGGCGAGAGCCGCGTGGGTTCGAACCCCACTTCTGACACTCTTTTTGCTTTTGTTCTTAGAAACAGCAAACGTTTGAGCAGCTGCTTCAACTTGCGGTCTGTCGCAGCCTTCTAGTGCTCATGACGACGCTTGCATCGTGGATTTTATCGATGTAATCGATCTAGCTCAGGCAGAAAAACGAGCTTTCTATCGTGATCGGAACTATAGGCTATTCTGGCAAGAGTCATATATTATATGTTCAGCGGTATACGACTTTGCTTCAGACAGCAGATGAATGTCACCAGGATCCACCCTGCAATCAGCTCAATGTCGACTCGAGTTGGAGGATTCTTTTGCCAAGCATGCGGTAGACACACCTCACATACTGCCCGAATTCGAGAACAAACGGGAGTTCAATATACGCCGCCAAAGTATTGCAGTAAACGATGCAAATCCGCAGGGAAGCCGTCGCTGGCTGTTGTGCATGGATGGAAAACGATGCTGGATACTGCGGCCGCTACTGGGCAGAAACAAACGGTACTGTGCTCAGACGTACAGAAGGAGGTGTACCCACAGGCAGATGGTCGTGGAGCGGACGAGTGGAATAACCCAATAATGGACTCAACTCTTGGTACACAAGAAATCGGAATGATCAAGGCGAAACACCGAGAAGAGACGAGAAAGGCGGCACGCCTCATCTACCATTTCGGGTTCCGACATTTCATCCCCGCTGGACAGACGGTGAATGGGGATTATGGCGTTTCCAGCAGCCTGCCTAAGCGAACCGACGGGAAGAGAGACGAGCAGACAGCTCTCCGATTGCAGCAAAATGCAGAGGTAGAAGCGGTACAGGATGGAAAAGTCATTCAGGATGTCACGCATGCGAAAGGTGAATGGGGATTACGATACAAGCGGGAATGATATGTCGGAGCACATAGGGTAGTTTGTTGGATCCTGCAAACGGGAGAACATGGCTGGCCGTGCACCAGGCCCACGGAGCAAATAACGGCAACGACAGGCGATACTTGGCGTTTCAGGTGATGATCGAAACTCCGACCTCCTATCCCGCTGACATATGAGAGCATTCGCCACTACCGTCCAGATTCGCCACCGTTTCACCCCTTCATACATTTGTTACTGGAAGAACCTGCGTTGTCAGCCATCTCATGGTCATCGCTGCGCCATGCCCGTTCCCACCTCCAGCATTATCCAGCAAGACTCGGTGCTGGGAAATCCTCCGATGGCCAAGCGAAAGGACAAACAGTCTCTCGCCACCACATCTCAGCAACGTACACGATATCATCCTTACGCCGGCTCTCATATCACGCAGGGTATCCTAGGCAAACCAACGGATTATCGGGTCACAATGGGTGATGTCAAAATGCATCCTCGTTGGCAGTATCGCGGTCCCAGTTGCGGGGACATTGGACTTGTATCATCTGATGGGTGCTCCTTTTGGGTGAGCCGGATTAGCTACAACTTGAACGTATCGTGAATCTAACTACCACACCTTGTAGGTTCCTGCTTACATCCTTATGGCTTTCAGTGAAGAGTTGCGTAAAAGATTACAGAGTGAACTACAAACGAGGGGTTCCGCAGATCTCATCGGCGTAAATGGCAGACAGTCTAATTCAAATGCTTCTTATGCTCGTCAATCTGCTGCATCGGTCGAAAGAAACAAAGAACCTATCATCTTCAACTTGCCGACCACTCATCATCGTGTTCTCGCAATGTTCCTAGCTTACACACAAGGTGATCATGAGGCTATCCAGATCGCTACCGCTCTTCAGTACCATCAATGCGTGACCTTTGCCAGAACCTATCAAACTAAGCACTTTTTGACCCTGTTAACGGAGAAAGTTCTGCCAAACGTCATTGAAAGGGACCCGGTGGGAGCATGGGCTTATGCTTGCGAGAACGAGGACATTGACTTGGTTAAACAATGCTTCATTCGCATGGGCGACCACTGGTGCATCACCGTAGAACCAGAGTCTCGAAGTGCTTCCTGGAGTGTCTTTTCGACTGGAGTTTACTCTGCTGAAACACCAGTGCAATGTGCAGACGCTTTCGCACCGAAGGTCGGACTGGACAAATTTCGAGCTTTCCTTTCGGCGTGTGATAATGCTCTGGACTGGGCAGCAGAGAATGGCAAGGCTCACGATGCTCAGGCAGCTCAAGATGGCACAGTCTCCAAGACAAAGTTGTTCGTCGAGTCTCAAACAGGATATATCGTAGTCGAGGGCCATGAAATGTGGGAACGCATTTATGAGGAAACTGTGGCGAATGATGCATTCAGTAAGCTTGTTCTTGTATTTGTGAGAAGAAGAAGAGAGACCACTGATTCTACCTTCATTTTGACGCAGATGCAGCAGATAAGGACATTGTCGTGTGGGCTGATGATTTGGACGAACAAACTCGAAAAACAGTGTTACGTGATGCTACCGCAGACAGTGCTGACGGAAACAGGAGCCTCCGCAACTCCAGCCCTGAAGGACAAATAGTCCACAGCAGCTTGCGCGCTCAGAGCTTGTCTGCACAATACTCCGACAATGATCCGCTAGCTACCAGGCTCGTATTTGCGGCCGAACTATCCCCTACCTCGCCCCTACGACACGCAAACACTCCACTCGCTCCCACGCCTCTTCGAAATGCTGGAAAACATGCCGAAGGGGTAGAAGATTCGGCAAGCAGCACCGGTGAAGCGCAAGATCTACGCAACGTGAATCTCAATCAAACGCCAATGCAAGGATCTTCGACAGGTCCATTTGCGCCTTCGAGTAAAAATCAAAGGCCAGCCTATGGAACAGCGCCCGCGGGTCTGTTTGCGTCTTCAAGTAGCGAGCTTGACCCCGATCGAGTCATGGAGGACACGGATGCAGCGGACCCTACAGCCTTGTGAACAGCCGCGATTGTCTAATATCATTCTCGAGTCATGACCTGGAAGTGGGCCTATCATAGTCAAAGAAGTCAAGGAAACAGTCGCCGTCGTTGTCGTATACACACGCATCGAACAGCTCCATTGTACAGCCGCTCGACTTTGCAAAGCGTTTCTTTTCGCATTTTCGGTGTCAGTTTCCGTCATTCCGTCACGATGGCGTTTAGCGACTATTATGACCATCGGAGAACGGCCCACTACAGACAATCGTTTAGTATCCACGCTACACTCCGCCTGCCTCCTTTTCTGAGTCGTCCGCCAAACATTCGGTGGCGTGCGTTGATTATGAAACCGCGAGACTGATGTGTTGGTACATTTTGTTTAACGGATCTACGAGCCGCCTCTATGCATTCTCTCGACGATTTACAGGCCACGTATTTGATAGTTGTCGTTAGGTTTCGTTACTTTGTCGCGGCTATACAAGATCGTATTGTACTCCGAGGAACAGCTAGTCAAAGAGATACACTATCGCTAGAATCCTGCACGTCAAGCACAGCTAAGCTTCCTGTCGATACCTCTCTAACCTTTGCGCCCTCTTCGTTTCCGCTATCGTTATTTGTTTTACGGACGGGGCCTTCCTCCCTTTGCTTCCCCTTTACCCCCACGTTTATCTTCGAGCCCCCGCCGCCGTTCTCCGAGCCCCGCCGTGCTCCGAATGCTCGTTCAGCCTCTCGGAGCACGGCATCTAGTAACCCCGGTGGAACGTTCTGACCATCGTCTATGGTAGCGGACGCGGGTGAATTGATCTGACGATGGGCAATTGCCGATTTGGGTCCTCCGCCGTTGCCCTCATCCCCGTCAGGATTCGAGGAGTGATGTCTGATCTGCGCGTTCTGGCCTGTTTGAGCTTCTAGCGCGTTCGGAAGACCCTACATTCCCTCGCGCACAATGAGCTTCCCGTCGCCAAGTCCGGGATGAACAGTAAAGGGGACTTGTTCTACATACCGGGATCGATCCGGCGAGTGGTACAGTCGTGATCGGGGCATTCCTCCTCGACTTGTACCCAGACTTTACACGGTTATTGCTCGTTGTTTCTCTGTGCACACACAGAAGCGAGCAGGAGGAGCCATCAATTCAGCTCCAATTGGCGGGCGTTTGAGGGAGAGACGGGAAGAAGGGAGGGGACGTACCGTATTTCGGCGATAAGATCCTCCAAGTTCCACCATCCTGGACTCCAAGCGTTGTAAGTCACGTTCCGGCGATACCATGATGCCGAATCATGCGGACCGAGGGTTGCGTGGATGTGCAGGTGTGAATAGGGAAATTGCGGGTCACCTGCCAATGAGCAGGCGGTTATAAAGCCAGGGCGGTGGTGAGTGACCTGCGCTGTTTATGGAGGTTATGACAGGAGACATACGTGCAAAGCCAGTGACGAACCCTACTCTTCTTTCTCCCTCTCCACATCCTTCAAAACCAGCGTTCTCTGATCTTCGCATACGATGGTCGTCTGCAGTGTCGTCTACACTATGCACCGCCTTTTGTTTTCCTTTATTCGTCATTGACGGACTTGGTGTACGATCGAGTAGCGTGTGAGCGGTTTCCAGAGCATGGACGAGGAGTGGGATGTCTTGTGGGCCCTGGAATGGCCAGGAGTATCAGCGTGAGACCACGAACGCCACGGTTGGTGATAATCGCACGCACGAAGGAATAGACATCCTGGATATGTCGCTTGAACGCGAGAACGATGTGTCTTCCCCCATTTGCTAGTTTCTCCGAGGAGGAGGCGATCCATCCTGTCAGCTCGTCGTCATCTACTACAAGTATTCTTTCCCCGTCATTCGTACTTGATGTATTCCGAGTATCGGCTGTATTCGTCGAAAGAAGCGGCTTTTGGAGAACGGCAGGCGAGGGAAAAGCAGGAGAGAGTGGTCGGTCGGGATCGAAAGAGACTTGAGTATCCGTGGGGTTGATGCCTAGGTGAACGCCTGAGGTCTCCTCCAGATTGACGAGAATCGAACAAAGCGGACAGCCGGGACTTGGAGGATGTATCCGTCCTTTTCTTGACGTAGCGGCGACGACGGGAGTCGGCGGGACGGTGAATACGTATGGCCGCCCTCGGTCTGTCTGAGGAATAGGCAGCATGGCGTCCGGTGGAGCTCTGTATGCTCTCCTGGTTCTCGGCC